AGAGAGAGAGAGACTACAGCCATATACCCCATACTGGATAAATGGAGTATTGGCGGACTTCACAATTCTTTCAAAACTAGTTAAAGTTTCATTATTAAAAAAAATCATATTATTGAAAAAATAATTATCACCTGAAAATTTCAGAGTTGCTTTGAAACCGCTTCGTCTCTCTTTCCAAGAAAAAAATATTACCAACAGGCTGCAATTTCTGCTCATTTGAATGCAATATTTGGGTTACAACTATTATATAGAAAATAAAAACAATATACATGCATGCATAACATACGTTATATAAATAAATGAGGATGCAGTCTGCCCAAGATCAGAGTGGGTGGCGTTCTATGGATACGCATGGATAGATATGGGGAAGGTTTTGCCCAGCAGTGGACAGCGAGATCCTGAAAAAATATATAACTGAAAATATTTTAATATATTCCTATTTTCAGTATACTTTTTCTCCAATGAAATATGATATTTTTTTACTTATGTATATTTTATTATATATGTAATAGCGACTCACCCTCGCTTGTCCCTAGGTTGGTTCCCCGTGCAAACTTTCAGCCCCATTTTCACCCCCTTAAGGGATGATTTCCGGGATAAAAAGTACTCTATGTCCTTCCCCGGGTCTGAAACTATCTTCTTACCATATTTCATCTAAATCGGTGCAGATCCAGTAGATTACCCACTACAACGTTACAAACTCACAATTCACAAACTTTACCTCTTTATAATATTAGTATAGATATATGTAACTTGGAATAAAAACTGATCGCTAATTTACTGTATAAACATAAAAGACAATATTAATCAAGTTATTACATTGACCTATTAAATTAAATTCATCATAATGACATACATTTATTTCCCAAATACGATTCAGAAATTCACAAATTGCAAATACAATTTTAACCCGGAAGACTGACGCAGTCGTTACAATTGGAATAATTTAAAGTTTCTATTTATTTATTTATTTATTAATCCTTTATTACACCAAAAATAAAAATACAATATAAATGTATATATAACTTTACAAATATATCTTAGTGTAAAGGCGGCCTTATCACTTAAGTTTCATACTCATTTTATCAATACGCGAGTTTGTTTTGCGAAATTATTGACAAAACTAACGATATTCTAACGGTAGTTTAATTACACGTAGTCAATAGATTGTTTCGCGTTTGCTAATTAATAATATGTATTAAATTTGCTATAGTTATGAATAATGAACCGCAATGTTTGCTGGCGCTATTTCACGCTAAATTACGCTGTTTCATCTTCGTTAAATTAGTGGTAACATCTTGAGGTCACTCGATATCATAACGCTTATAGTATTATCAACTAATTTCTTAGCTTTAACGAAATTTGAACTATAATTTAGATTGAAATCATTTCACACATTGTTATAATATTTTATTATTTTATATAGATATTCTTGATTAGCAAAAGATTTAAAATAACACAAGAGACCAAACAGATTTACTGCAGTATAAACTATACGTATTTTTATACAATTTAAAAAAATGTTTATCATATTATAAGGTAGACAAAATTCTAGGAAGACATCTACAATTCAATTTCTTCAAATTGTATAAGCTACCATTATTTTATCTATTCAGTTAATATTAAAGATAATATTCGCCGTGGCTCGTAACGTAATCAAAAAAGATAACTGTAATATAGTGTACAATGAATATATGAATTTAAATGTAATTCATTAAAGGAACAGGTCATTCGATAGCGAAGATTTATAGGCAGCGTTATATCAAACTAGATATCGTTAATTAAAACTATCAAAGAGACGATATATAAACACCTGACACGATGTGTGTGATTGCATTTGACTTTCATTTACACCGTAAACTTGAATTCGACATTTTCCCACTTGATTTGATTTTCAATTTTTTTATTACTGTTACACGAAATCAATACTGGCTTGTATCTATTTTTGTAAATGTTGAAAATTACAAAAGAAGCAACTACACACTTGTACATGAATATTCACAGTGAATCACATTGTCGTAAAATAATTTACTGCATCCTTGATATTGCAAAAGGTAGTTTAAAGTATACTCTTTAAAGTTGTAATATGAATGACAGCGACTGTGCATTCGCAAGATCCGATTCAGCGGTTGATTCTTTTTTTCTCGAACGCTACACCCTAACGACTTCCTCGCAAACGCGCATCGAAATGCAACGATTCCGAAACATGTGCAAATAACCCTATGCCGTGTCGCTTACTCACACCCTCCCTTTGTTGTGCGGAGGGAACGAACAAAACATATCCCGATTGTTCCAATGCGAAAGGAAATATTGCTGCCCGTGTGAAAAATGAATATTTTTTCTAGTTGAACGTTCGACGTTAGCTCTGAGAATTTTGACGCCACAAAACATTCAGTGTTCAAAATTTTATAGCTCCGTCCGAAGTGCAGAATGCAGCCAAATTGAAAAATTTGGAACCAATTTCTGAAGTTACGTTCTAAACTAGTTTAAAACGTCCGCGGAACAGCTTTCATGAAAAATTACCGGATAAATGGGGACGGCTAACCGGTGCTTTTAGTCCAGTTTGGGTGCGGGCGAAGTCACGGCACGACCTGGCCATTTCCTCAGACCGCCGTTCAATTTACCGGAACGCATCTGCCGGCTAAATAGCTTGGCTTGTGCTACTGGCATCAAACGAGTGACTCCTAATAAACGGCCAGTCGAAATAGGCGAGCCGTTTCCGCTTATTTTTTAAGGAAAAGAATAAAACAATTCAGAAAGGCATTTAGTTTGATCAAAGGGTACTAATTGTCCGGAGTGGGTACTCTACTAAAAGCGGTTTTATTGTGCGCGGGGAAAATGGGAAGGCAAGCAATTTGGCGGTCTGACCGCAAGAGCGCATGTTTATTAGAGACATGGACCTCTCAGCCCCCGATTTGCATAACGGTCTCTGTCGTAATTAGAAACCATCTCGGACGTCCCTCCTTTGTTCCGTCAAGTCTGCCGGGTGAAGGCGATCGCCTTGTATTTATCCGCTCGAGGATAAGCTCCGTAATCCATATTAAAATACTACTTGATGCATTCCAATTTCTCAAAGTGCAATATCAAAGTGCATAACAGTTGCTTCAATTATATAAAAGATTCCCAAAAAAAGGCATTAAAAGATTTCCTTGTTATACTTTCTTTTTAAGAAATGTTAAACCATAACATAAATAAAAGGAAAAGCCCAGCGTTTGTATAATGATTACTTAAATTTTTAAACCTTTATCTTGTCTGCACATTATTATTATTTTTGGAAACTATTGTTTTTTTTATAATAGCCAGCTATTTTGACTAATGCGTTGGATATTAGACCAAGGAGGACATAATCTTACATTGACTGAACATGTCTCTGGAGAAAGATATTGCCTTGAAAATGACTCTTAATATATCAGAACAAGTCGCTACAACGTATCTCATTACAAGAGGCGTGTTTACGAGGCGGTTGTTACGCGGATAATAGCGCTAAACCGATACCCTTATTTACTGCAAATTGCGTTCCTGCTAGATGTGGAACAAGCCCAAATATCTGTTTACTGTTGATGACTTTCATTTAGCTGATCGCTTCGAAAAAACTCTGGTGGATATTTCGTAATTTAATTTGTATCTACGTTTATTCATTTCGCATTACGAGATTTTCGAGATTTTGAACTGGACAAAGAGATGAAATTTTTCAATAATTTGTATACAAAATGATTGAAAAGTTTTTTTTGTAAATGATTTTAATTTAATTTCATGTAAAATCCAATATATCACACAAATATGGTAGGTATTCTTTGCAACATATTAAAATCTTAATACTCGGATGAAGCTTATGTATAACTTATGTTAATAACATGGATATTTAATATTTTTCATATTTCAGTATAATGCCACTGAAGCGATTCAAGTTAAATATCTAAATGTACACTTAATTTATTTTTAAATCTTAACAATTGTTATTTAGTACTAAAATAATATGTGTACAAAATATTTACTTTTTAAATTTATAGTTTTATTTTGTTAATATATGTAAAGATGTAGTAAACAAAGTATAATGAAAATTTCTAGTAAAATACTGAAATCATCATTTTAGTGCAATTTTCCAAAACTATATAACTGTCAATGGAACTTTGCGCATTGAAATATACGAAAGCGTTTTAAAAAGCTTTTTAGGTTTTAGTAAACTTTATAGATTCATTTTTTATAGATTAAAAAGGTATTTCGAGCTTTTTTCCAGTAAGGAAAAACTATAAGAGAACGACAAATGTATTTTTATAGATGAACAAAATTTTCATATTACAAAATAAAACACAATAAAACATATACAATTTTATTATGAAATCCATCAACAACAATTTTAATTGTGCTAATTAATAGATACGCCTAATAAAATAAAGATCTTAAATTGTTTGAAAGAAAGGATTTGTTACATTATATTTTTTTTCTTTTTTATACTTTTAATTCTGACCTTTTATGCTGAGTAGGTAATAGACATAATTGTCATAACTAATAACTTTATAAATCAAATACATATGTAAAGTGGCTTGTCCTGACTGATTATAATCAACGTCCAGACAAAACTGCTAAAAATAAGACCTAAAATTTTGACAATATATCCCTATTATGATATAAATCGTTAAAGGAATTTCAGAAACTGAACTCCTTAGAGGATGAATAGGGGTGGCAAAGTTTATACGGGGAAATCAGCCCAGGGTAGGGGTAGGCTAATAGTAATTAATAAAATTAATAAAATAATAATTTACACGCTAGCTCAATTGAGTTTCTATCTAATAAATTCCATAAAACCTTATAATCATTTTAAAAGTTTTAAAAGCTTGAATAAAATTGTTTTAAGTTTGTTACTTTAAGAATGAAATTCTCTTTTATAAAACATTTTAAATAAGAGTATGCTGCATCTAGATTATTGCGGTTATTTTCAAGAAATTTTCATTTATTGTAGAAACAAGCAATTACTGATATTGTTTCTCTTTTGTTCGCAGGATACAATAAGGAGTTCACGGAACCAGTGCAGCACAAACTTCAGAATAACCACGGTGAGTAAAAACACTCCAATCGGAGACCATTAAAATTACGAATGCTAACCCAGTTAATTAACGGCGGTGACTTTCGTTCACTTAATTAATTAAAGTCAAAAAGCAACCATATTTTTTTTGCCATACTATAGCGAAACATCGTTTTATTTGCTCTTATAGCTTCCTTTGACGTATTTAGGACATAATGAGGGCCATTCTTTGCCATGAATTCATTGTTTTCTTTTTTTTTTATGACAGAATTAAATTAATTAAATATTATACTCGTATATCACCCTGTTATGCGAATCTGTATCCATTGCTAGTGCAACAATAAAAATCTACCATCTATCGAATTCGATAGCTCGAAGCGGTCATTCGCAGCTCTTTTATCACTCTTTGTCCTAATTGCGCCTCTATGTGGGTGCCTCTAACGAACTTTACAAATGGCCAGTGTTTTTTGAGCCAACTCTTTACTTTGAACTGGTATAGCATATGTTGACAAAAAGCTTCTATAGGTTGAAAGAATAGACCGTAGTTACTAAATTTTTAGATCATTTCACCAAAGTTGATATTTCTATAACTAAATATAGTTCATACCGTCTAAAGCCATTAAAGAATTACCAGAAGCTTTCGCTCAGCAATTTCATTTAGAATATATTTGCTACTTAAACCTACCCTTGAGTATGTATAATATTACGTAAAGACAAAATTACAGCTATAACATTTTCGTTGACTGTTACCAATTACAAGTAACTAGGAGAAAACTAATTGGCTACCGTTGCGTTCCGAGAGGAATGGTTGGAGCGAAAAATAAAAATTAAGGGCTGCCGTCAGAGGCAGACGGAATATTGAAATCGTCGAGAAACAACTCATTACTCATAATTAGCTCGCGTTAACTTAATTTGCCCGAGGTGATGTAGCAGTGCGGCTTGCAATTTCGCTTAATTACTCCAATGAATTATTGGTGCCCACAAGTAGTTCTCTTGGTAATGCACAGAAATCGAGCTATGAGTAATAAGTTCCGATATTTTATGCATGATCGACGTAATGAATCAACTGAAGTTTTTTAATGGTCAATAAGTTTGGCAGTTAATTTATTGTTTCAGTGCCTGCTTAAATTTTCTGTTTCCTCTACAAATATTCGATAGGATAACTCTTCAACTGACATTTATTCAAATGATCATTTTAAATAAATGTTTTTATTTTTTATTTCAAGTTCTAAAAGTATACACTCATCATATTGGATAATATATTCCAGTTAATCGGTATAATACTCTAATATATTCTTAATAAAATTTATCAACTATGGCAAAGTCCTTTGTATGAACCATGAACGAATTAGCCACCATATACGCGTATGACTTAACAAAGGCAGTCAAAACAAACAGTAAGATGACGCGATAAATTTCCGTCGAGACGTCTGAACACGCCTGTAGTACTTCGATCTGAGTTGATCAGCCTGGGACATAACGAAGCGTTAATGGCTATGTAATGTGACAGCTAATTTCCTGGAAGAAACGCCCCACCTTGAAGGTTTTTATTGTCCCTATCAAGAGTCTTGTCACGATCTTCACCCAAACCCCCTTCACCCATTCTCCTCAAGGGGGCACTCATCAGGCCGAAAACTTGCGAATTAAAACGTGCTTAGATTTCTAGTGTAAAAGTTTACATCAAAGAGATTGTGAGTAGTGACTTTTGAAAATAAATCCATTAATGTTTGACGACATTGTAAATTGTTAATTTACCTAAGCTTAATGTAATTAGATTATATTTGAAGTCAAAGTTTATTATTTAAAGGATAATAACATTTACAATTTATATAATAATAATTTTGCTTTGTGTATATAAACTATTTATTTAGACAATAACCTCAACCATATCAGGAATTCCCTTTAATGAGAGCTAAATACTGGCAGCAATTTGTGATAGTGGTTTGCCATAGTCATTGCTGAATAGTCCGCTATCAGGCTAACAAACCCACCAAGTGATTTCGAATCCTCTCCGCCTCCCGCCCGAGTCGGGAACACTAGTTAAGTTCACTCGGCGTCTGCCGTCTAAACAGAACCTATCTGAATTAATTGGCTTCGGACCGGCGATACCGCAGTTGCGCTACACGAGATTAGGAGTACTACGGTCAAGAACACTACAAGTTTGCAAGATCCCATCGTCAGTTTGAATTCCATTACTATAGATCTTTATTTGCAACCTCGTTAGTTGTTACACGTTTGAAATGCATTTTAGTGATCTCAAATATATTTCACAATTGTTATAAAGGACCATTATTCTCCATTTTACGTAAAATGACTGATAAACGGTGTTACATCCGCGCAGATGAAAGAGTAATTTTGATAAAGCATTTTTCATTTTTAGCCGAACAAAATGTTTCACGTCGCTCATAAGCTATTGGCGTTCGTTAATTTGACGTATAAGTAAATTTGGAATCCTCCATCAATAACGGTTTCGACGTTAAAACAGTCATTTTTCATTTGTAGCGAGATATTTCAAAGTAGAAATGTAGAAGAACGCACAGTCAGGGGTCGCTTTCAAAAAAAAACCAACGCAATGCCTGCTGAGAATCTGGTAAACATTTCGAATCACTTGCGAATTCTACCCTCACTCCCTTTATTGCGGCTTTTATACGTCGACAGGGAGTTACACGCACAACCTACATAGCAATGGATACGTGAATGAAAATTTGCTCTTCTAATACCGTTTTCCCAATGAAACTGTAGATCAACTTCCAAGCCATTTATTCGCAAATCGAGTTATTGCACCTCTCGTAGATCGCTTTACACAGGTCATTTGTGGGAATCCAAATATCTAAATGTTAGATAAAAAGATTTATGACTCACTTTGAATTTTGCTCACGTCTCCGCGTTTCAGGGGACCGACTTATGCAATTGAGATACTCCATCATATCGACTGTCACTCTTTATTTTACAGCGAGCTTTTGACATTACGTTCAATAATGGAAGAAATAATGTTACTTTTCACTTTAATTTGGCAGATCGTGTTTATTTTCGCCATACAGCTTTAAACCTCATTTTTTCGTATTCATTAAGCGCTTGCAATTTTTGGGTTGCTGGTTGTTAGGAGTTTAACAATTAAACATGCGTATTTGTAAGAGTTTTAATATTCAGCATTCTTGTTTAGGTAGAGCAGGACATAGTCGAATTGTCATGCTTATCACGGCCTCGCTTTGCAAACGTTGTTTAATAAAACTTCAAGTTTCCCTTGTATTTCCGCGGCGGAGTGTAATTTGTTTTGTATTTAAACTCTTGTCCCATTAGAGCGTTTGTTTTCACAAAAGCAAATCGAGTTATACATGTAACGCCACGAGACCATACTGCTATCCATTTATTTCGTTACGTACAGTCTGTCAGACGCAGATCGTTGCGAGCAGTTCGTGTTGCCTCGTACGGAAAGGTTATAATGGTTTGTAAATATTTATTTGTGATGTGCTGTACGGTTTCCGCATAACGCAAATTAAATAAAGTGTTTCGACTATGAATAATAGCGAGCCGGCTTCTGAACGTGTTACGAGGAATAACAATTTGAAATTAAAATAACAATCGTTTACGCGTCAGGTTTCTCGATAAGCTAAATTTTCGCATTTTCTTTTTTATGTGTTCAAGCTTGGTTTTCTGTGGCAACAATAATGGCGATGGATGATGAAATAAATACAAATATTTAAGAAACGGAATAAGGACTTGCAAAGAGTACTCGAGATATCAAATGGTTCTAGGTTTAGAAATAATGGCGCAAAGTGCTTGAAGAAAATCTTAAGATTCTTGAATATACTTGCCGCTGCATTTCCGTTGGCATACTTAGTAAATAGAAACAATAGAATCTCAAATGTCACGTGACTATTGTTACATGTCGCTTTAAGATATTTTAAAAATTATTCCACTTTCCAATGCAAACATGCTAATATATTTAATTCGAAATGTAAATCTTATAATCTCCCAAAACAATAGATTGCCAATGAAAATGTTGATAATAATACAACGTACATTGTTTAAATGTCAAATGAACTGCATACGTCCACTAAGCTGTCCCAATTTATGGAGTCACGTGTGGAGGCATTATTAAAATTTCTCGTCACCAAAGGTATTATTCCGGAATATCGTGCGCTGCGCTTATTAAATCCGATCTTGTACGCACGCTATCCTCACGTGACGTACTAATTGCGGGCGGGGTTCGAAATAATATTGGACTTATTATTACGAGTGGTATTAATTTCGCTGAGTACTTAATTAAAACCCGTCGTGCAGAAGTGGCTAATCATTTTGGGATTATTTTGAAAGCATCACATAAATATGAATTTAATCTAACGTCGATTTTACGTTGATGATGATACTAAATGCGTAAAAATGTGGACAGTTACCAGTCTCAAAATATTAATTAGTAAGGAATATATGCATTGGACAGTTTAATTTTTTACTGATAATATGAAAATATAAGATTTTTAAATATGCACACGAAATGTAACAAATTTAACAAAAGCGCGACAAGTTCAGAATATGCCCGCACTTGCGCTGTGTGCGTGGAGCGTAAAGAAAATGGCTGCTTAATGCTTGCTTATATAGTTTATTTGCAACAAACATTTGTCGTAGTGCACTAAGTTTGGTACTGTCGTTTGAAATTTTCGGAATTTAACGTGCATGTTCCCTAGCGAGAATTCAAGAATTTTGAGATAACGAATGGGTTACATTAAACTTTAAGCACTGAAATCCCTCCTCTAGCAGTTGTAAAGCTCTATTTTTCTCATATAAAATTTGACACTCTATTTTAAGGTTTGAATTTAAAAAAAACTTTCTGAATACTTCGGGATATAAGTATGCCGCAGCTTTATTCAATGTCTGTATATTTTTTTCACTAGATATATTTATTCAATATCGTACATTACTAATTGTCCGGTACATTAAAATATGATCATACTAGCGACTCACCCTCGTTTTATATCTCTTACTTGAGAAACGATTGATTCCCTATACAAAGCCTTACCCCCCTTTTCACCT